TATATATATATTGTTAACTATCTGTAATCTATATATCTGTGGTTGAGACATAATAACTTTATGTGTTAGAATTTCACTAAAATAAAATGATAATAAAAATATAATGTACCAACATGCTAATTAATAATAAATACTAATAACTAATAATTACTTATAATTACTAATAACTAACATGCTTATTGCTTATTCACAGAAAGTAAAGACGAAATTAAAAAAAAATATATGCCTAATTAAAGTTTATAAAAAGCTAATTTAATTTGTTATGAGAAATAAAATAGTTTTGAAAAGAAATTTCCTGTCCACGGGCCGTCAATTGCAATTTAATAAACCACTCCCTGGTTACTCACTACATAACACTATATAGGTATTAGTAGGTGTTTATCATATCGAGTTTCAACCCCCCCCCCTCTTTAAACTTGAAATGACAAGCTGATTCTATTCTAATATAAATTAATTATACATTTATTCCTATATAGAGTATAGTTTGACTGTTTGAGACCTATTCTCTCTAGTGACTAGTCAATTACAAATCAAAATACCACACTATTATAGCTGTATGTCAGTACTCGGTACCTACAACGGCTACAACACAGTATACCAKTATTACACTGAGAATTAATGTCTGCGTCTAAACCTCTAAACCTGATATGCAACATACTTACATACCTATAGATTAAATTACAAACATTTTACAGTTAACAATGTCATCAACATAATRTTCTCTTAAAATTCAATCCAAAAGCTTAAGGAATAATATTGTGCTTTAATTATATACGACGACTCCATACAGTTAATAAATAAAAAGAAGCAAAATATAACTCGTTTCTAGTAGATAATCTGGATTATTAATTAGAAACTTGGTTTTATCAGTATTTTGTATAGTAGGTAGTTGTTAGTAATAGGTAAATAGTTATAACTTCTAATTACTAATTAATGAATGGTAATAAGTAATAACTTATTAATTAAATTAGGTAATGTAATAATGTAAATAATATTTATTACATTTGTTAAATTCTAAACTTAAACTCAGACTATTGATATCATTATAGGTAGTAAGTTTGTGACCATACAATATAAATTATTTTTTAACAATTGAACACCTTGAACTAATATGCAATTGTTTTATTGTATTGTTTACAAGTTCATTGGCTTTAAATTAAAGTTATTGTTTTAATGCACATACAAATAAAGTTAATTCTTTAAAATACCCTTTCATAGATAATAGGTTTCCTATAGGCTATAAACCATTAGGCATCAATGGACTTAAATATTGATTGGATATWATGATATAAATATATAGTAAATTATTTTTTATGTTATAATATGTGTTTAAAGACTATATTATATATGTATAGTATAGCCATATAGTTGCTGCTGTTGCCTGTTTCATTGTTAAAAAATAAACATATTTAAATGATTCCTTAAGAGTTTAGAGAACGCCCAAGTTTGTTGTACCAGTTTTTACATGTAGACTGAAAAACCAATTTACGAATATCCATATTTGCAATAATGATTGGAAATATATTTATAGTTGAAGTCTGAATGTGAAATAAATATATTTTTGAGAGCGTTTCGTAGTTTTTTTTTAAGTTGTATTCAATATGAAAATTGAATTTATTATAATATGTACCTATTATACTTGTCAAACATTGAAGTATGTTTTGAAAACCCACCATAGCGAAATATGGCATGCTGTGTTTCAACGATTTTGTACTTGTACGTGTCTCTAAAAGCACAAAGAAAGATAATAAAATAATAAAAAATATACCATAGACAACTCACCAACTACGATAAATAATTAGAAATAARTATTAACTTCAGTATAATATATTCAATGAGTATGAATACTGGCAATACTGCTACAAAACGAGTCTGCCGCTCGTACTATTCACAGCCCGCTGCCCGCCAATATATTGTCACCGGACATGGAGGCAGCTTCGAGCGACCACGGTTGCGGTATGTTACGGTTTTTTCATAACCTCATAGCAACAGCTGCTGGTGTTCCAGTTAAACAGACGGTTCTACCTATTTTGTGAGTTGTGTTTTTGTTGTTTTTTTTCTAATCATCAAGTTTTCCTCTACCGAGCTCTACTACGGCTCAGGGTTTTACAATTCATGCGCACTTGTCGACTTAACTACCATAGTGATTTTCAGGTTTCTTATTTTCGTTAATCTTTTCGGTCTCGCGTTCCCCGACGTCAGCCGTACGTTTTAAATTCCGACCGCCCTAAACGAACCACCGAAGACGTTCTGCAGTTTTGCTTCGACGTCAAACATACTGTCCACCGGTCGTTCATTTGTCACCGCCGTTCTTTTCTCGTGTATTTGTTTGTGAGTGTGTGTGACGTGTGAGTGTACCATACTACCTTGTGCGGTGTGCCCCGCGACGTTTTGCAGCGTTCTCGCGAGCGTGTGTGTGTGTGTGTGTGTCTCTTTCTTGCGTTTGTGTGCGTGTTCCTTTGAGGTGCGCGCCCGCGCGTGTGTTCCAACTCATATCGGCAATTGGCTATCGGCGCTATCGCCTAACGCTTAACAGCGGCTTAGCAAGTAGCAACTCGAATAATATCAGCTCCAGCCACCATCGACGCCGCCTTCTCCGGTTCATTGTTGCCTGCGAACAGACTTGACGACAGCTCCACCACCGTCTTGATACCGTTTGTCCCGAGCATCAAATCATGTCGTCCAAGATCGAACAGATTCTATTAATCGAGCCGCCGCACGAGCTCAAATTCAAAGGTTAGCAACAATCAGCACAAAACACGATGATTTGTGGGTCTCTATGTGTATGTGTGTATATGTGTGTGTGTACTGTTTTGGGAGAGAACCCTTTTAATGACACTTTCTGTAAACTTTGAAAACCTTAGTTGCTACATAGTTATGTAAACCGAAAAACATAAAACGTTACATGACGTATTTATCCCAAAATTGAACAATTTTGCTTAGTTTACTCAATGTCTGTGTCTACTACACGTAACTCTTACTTTATTTTACTCTCCTATTTGATAATTATTGTTTCCATTTTATTTCATCGTTACTTCCATTAAACAATTTTAAAGCTAATTGTATGTTGTACCTATCTATATTGCATTGTGAACAACAAATAAGTGGTTCGCAATTGTTACATAGATTTTAAACTAATATCCATTTCTTTAATCCTCATAAAGATTCTACTGAGTACGATATACTGTTTACTTGATAATCATATACTACATATAGGTATATCCCGAGGTATATCCTAAATGTTTCTATAAAAAATAGGTGTTTGCGTTGTAAATTTGTGTATTATTAAATACTGAAATCATTTGAATATGACCGTTATGACGATTGATAATGACCTATGTTTAGTAAATTTGGTTATTTACAAATATTTAATAATACAATAATAGTTCATAAGATAAGGTACCTAGGTAGGTAAATGAGTTAATTTTAGTTTTTCATAACAGAGGACATTTTCTCTAGTTATATTCAAACTTGTTTTAATCATGTAATTAATATTCAAGAAACGGAATAAGAATTATTCTTAAGTAAACAGTCAACATTACTCCACCGAATAGTACGATTACAATATTTAAAAATTTGCAATGATTATAATACCCAATAAGTAGATAATTATTAACTATTAACTGCCATGTCAAATACTAGCTACATAATTTTATAGATTTATAAAAAATTTAAACACAACTAAAAATTTTACATTTATACTGTCCATATTTATATTTAATAAATAATTGATCTGAAACTAAAAACTTTAAACCCACCATATTATTTTTAACTTATCTACTTGAAAATTATATAATTTATAGTATAATCTATGATTAAAGAGAAACAATACAAATTATTCAGTGGTGAAAAGTTTAATATTTTATGAACAACAATAATTTTCACTATTGTTTTATATTTTTTATCTTATCATAAATTCTTAATGCATGGTGTAACTGTATAAGGCTAAGGTTCTGAATTTGTATTGGCCTAAAAATCCTAGTGTTTGTATGGGTATAGAAATATAAATATAGCTATTTTTAGTATTTTAACTATAAATTATTGTTTAACGTGAATTATGTGAATTATGATATTATTATTAAGATATTTCAATTACGTAAATATGTAAGATATATAAATTATTAGACCACCATTTTTACAATAGAATAATTAATTAGCAATATTTATTATGTTTTAAAATGTATTTAATAGTATTTGAAGTACCTAAGTACAGGTTTACATTAAATTAAGAATTCTATAAACTTTGATGGTAGTTTTACTGAATACCTATATTTTAATTATGAATTTAAGTGTGATAGTGAGTGCAAAATGTACTTATATTTACCTACTCATGATTCTGGAAAAGTGTATACTAGTCTACTAACTTAACTAATGAATGTGTTTAACAAAAAATTAATTTTTTTAGGTCCGTTTACTGAACCAGTTCAAACAATAATGTCTTTGAAAAATTCAAGTGATAAAAAAGTTGCTTTCAAAATAAAAACTACTGCGCCCAAGCGTTATTGTGTCAGACCAAACTGTGGTGAACTTGCTCCTAAAGAAAAGGCAGAAATTTCAGGTACCTATAAACAGATGCACATAAATAAAATTTTCATTGATATGCATTGAGATCTTGAAATTAACAACTCTTTTCAGATTTTTTTCCTTTTTGTTTGATTATTTTTATTACCAAGCTTATTACCATTTTTTAATATTTTAATGAACCTTAAAAATATTTTCCCTCAATATGATTGTTCTAACTTGTGTTTTGTTGGTGTGTGTTATGAATTTGTTATCCAGTAATATTGCAACCATTCGACTATGATGCCAATGAAAGAAATAAACACAAGTTTTTGGTACAGACTGTTGTTATCGATCCTGTTGCTGACTATGGTGAAGATGGCAAAACTTTTCAGGTTACTTCAATCTTTCATAACAATTTTTAAATAAAAAAAATTAACAATTTATTTTAAATATATATATTTTTAAATTTCACTTTGTTTTAATTTTAATTTTTTTAGATTATAGTTATAATTTATCTAAATTATAGATATTTAAAAATAAATAACACCTTTTTGTTTTATTATAGTGGAGAGATGTTGATGAAGGTAGAATAATGGATTCTAAATTAAAATGCTCGTTCGAAATGCCTACAGTCGAACAGTTATTAGAATCTAAAAACATTCATGATGATAGCACAGTAAGTTTTCTGATTAGTCTATTATGATAAAGTTAAAATTTTAACTTTATAAATATTTTCAAACAGGCTGTATTAGAAACAAACACTGAAACAGAACTACAAAAAGCAACCACTGAAGTAAAAGAATTACGTGAGGAAGAGACAATCTTAAGACAAGAAAATATGAAATTGAAAGTAAGATATTTTATTTCATAATATAAGAGTTGAGCCTTTTTGTACATAAACAACCATATTAACTTTTTTGAATTCCTTATTTGATTTCTAATTTAATTTTATGCATCATAGGAAGAACTATTGCAGCTTCAATATGAAATCAAAAACCAGCAATCTCTAAAACGTTCTGTTGGTGGTAGTCAGCATTTGGATATGCAAAACAGAAATGCCAATATAGCTCTGATGGTTGGCATGGCGATAGTAGTTGCATTGTTGGGTATTATTGCTGGAAAATATTTATTTTAGTAAGATATTTTAATTTTACGTTTGAAAAAGAAAACATTTAAATTTGAAAATAAATATATAATATTAATTTATAAAATGAAAGCAAAAAGTTGTATTTTTAATTTATAATGCAAATTCTTTGTGCATAGTCCTATCTGTTAAGGTTCATAAACCATATTATATATATATATATATATAATTAAATTGCCATCAATGATAATA